TCTGGTTCTTGCCATTTTGACTACTTTGTATCTTGGTGTTGTTCTGTCTGACTGTATTTTTTTCGCTTGGACATCCTGGATCTGTGCACATGCCTCCCTCCACTGACTGGGAAAGTTCATAGCTATTGTTTTCCTACCAGCAGTTATTCCCTTATCTCTTTTTCCTCCTCTCTAGGTATCTCAATAGTTATGAGATTATTTCTCTTGCTATAGTCCGCTACTCTCATCCACTTTTAAAATTCTTCTTTCTATTGCATATATATATATATATATTTTGCTTTTTGGGTCACACCCAGCCATGCTCAGGGGTTACTCCTGGCTCATGCACTCAGGAATTGCTCCTGGCGGTGCTCGGGGGACCATATGGGATGCTGGGAATCGAACCTGTGTCGGCCATGTTGGCTGCGTGCAAGGCAAACGCCCTACCCACTGTGCTATCCACTCCAGCCCCTCTATTGCATATTTTTGTTGTTGTTGATGAACTTTATATTGCATCCGAAACATATTGTTTAGTTTTCAGCTTCTTCAATTCTCCTACTGTGACTCAGTACTGTATCACTGTATCACTGTCATCCTGTTGTTCATCGATTTCCTCGAGCAGGCACCAGTAACGTCTCCTTCATCCTAGCTCTGAGATTTTAGAAAGTGCCACATTTGAGGCTCATTCAGGGTCAGAAGAATGAGACCCATCATTGTTACTGGTTTTTGGCATATTGAATACACCACGGGGAGTTTGCCAGACTCTGCTGTGCAGGAAGGACACTTTTGGTAGCCTGCCAGGTTCTCCAGAGTAAGAATTAGATAATAAGCTTCCAGGAGCTGGGCTTTATAGTCTCTGGGTCTTGGCTGTTGATGGGATTACATGGAGCCAGGGGCAGTTGGTGGGTGTAATGCCTACATACTGGAAGATGGGGGATCTGGGTGGAGGAGGCCCAGTCCCTATCCGAGCAAGCTTGGAGATCTAAGCCCCAGGTCCCACACACCTGGGTTCCTCTGCCGGTTCCTTCATGTGTGAGGCTTGTCCAAACATGTGGAGAGTCAGAGTGGTCTTAAGCATGACTGTGGCTGGAACTGGAGGTCTTTAGCTGCCGGGGCTCTGCTCAGAGTCAGGAGGGAAACCCAGTACTGTATTTTTTAACTCTTTCAATTCTAATTTAATTAAATGAATTTTTTAATGTTTCATATATTTTTTTAGAGATCAGGCAGATCTCTATACACTTTTTTTTTGTTTGTTTTTTAGATAAACTTGAAGAGTTAGCCAGCTCCTATCCTCATCTGCTAAAGTTACTAAGTTCCTTTGTTTTCTTATTCTTCCTAACTCTTCATGGATCTTAGGAGTGGTACTTCAGATCTCAGATTATTTGAGCAGCAATCAGGTGTGCTGTCACTCACAAAACTGAGCTACAATTTACGCCTCTATTGACTCCTTCCACTACCTCTGCCTTGTGAGGAATTTCTGGCAGAGGAGGCAAGGGTGGAGATAGGTTATACAATCTTCTCATGGGGTTTTCTTGGAAGAAGGGACTGTGTTTAGAGTAAGACTGGGGTGAGGGCAGGGAATCTACTAAGTTGGTTCACAACAGGAGGTTCAAGTGTATGGACTATGTGGAGAAGAATGGGTATGCAATACGGGGTGTGGATGTGGACCTTCAGAAACCATTAAGACTGGGAATGGGGGCTCCAGAGACTCACATGGAAGGGAAGGGAATTACTTCCTGGTCTGTAAAGGCCTCAGGGATTTGTGCTGCAAGGTTGACTTCATTTGCAGAACAAAGAAGCAAGCTCCCCGTAGCTCATAAAGATAGAAGTCAGGTGTGGAAGTTGTCAGACATTGAAGTCACTATTTAGTTTTTTTTTTTTTTGCTTTTTGGGTCACACCCGGCGATGCTCAGGGGTTACTCCTGGCTCATGCACTCAGGAATTGCTCCTGGCGGTGCTCGGGAGACCATATGGGATGCTGGGAATCGAACCTGTGTCGGCCATGTTGGCTGCGTGCAAGGCAGATGCCCTACCCGCTGTGCTATCGCTCCAGCCCCCACTATTTAGTTTTGAAGACAGAATTTTTTAAAAAATTTGTGCTTTTGAGGGAGGAGTCACATCTAATGGTGCTTTGGAATTGCTTCCAGTACTGCTCAATATTGAGGCTGGAACTTAGGACTTCCCCATGCACAATTGCACACAACTTTTTGAACTATCTCTCTAGTCCCAGAGTTGTTTTTTTAACCCTGCCTTTTCTTCAACAATGAAAATTAATTTTATTTATTCCATTGTTGCAATACTTAAAAAATAAAAATACAAAGCCTCTCTACACAAACATTCTATCTAATTTGGTGCTCATCTCATATTCTATAATGTTCAAGTGAAGAAATATTACTTTATAGGTGACGCTTGACTGTGAAAGACTCAGTCTCCACCCAGTGGGAAAGAAGGTGTTTCCTGAAAGAAAAGTTTCCAAATACAATCAGAAAAATCAGTTGTGCTAACATAGATTTAGTGTCACTAGTTTCTTGCCTGCTTTTCTATTATCATGTAATACTTCAAAACACTACACAATGTCTTAAAGATTCTAACATATGCAATGACTCCTTAAGTTTCTCACAAATATAAATGAAGAATTGTGTAAAATGTTTTTTGGTGTTACACAAAATATGAGTCTAAAAACTATGGATTGTTGATGCAACTACTTTTGAAAATAAAGTTTCTTGGAATACCTACCCATTCACTTATGTATTGTTTATGATTGCTTGCACACAAGGAACAGGTGAACACTTGAGATAGATTTCATAATCCACAGATCAATGAAATGTTGCTATAGCGATAGCACAGCGGGTAGGGCGTCTGCCTTGCACGCAGCCAACATGGCTGACCCGAGTTCGATTCCTCCGCCCCTCTCAGAGAGCCCGGCAAGCATACCGAGAGTATTCGATATGCCAGACACAGTAACAACAAAGTCTCCAATGGAGACGTTACTGGGCCCACTCGAGCTATTTATTATCTATGGAAAAGTTATTTAACACTCTATGAAGACTCAAGTTTCAGTTTTTGGTTAAAAACTTTAGAAAAGAGTAAATTCGAAATCCCGGTGAAGCTTATTTTCCCTCCAGCTTTAAATAATTCTTGATTATGTTAATGAGCATTGAGCACTTATATGGGATTTTAAGTTAACTAGAATGATGTCAATATATTCTATGCAATACCAAGAGAATTATCTAATTGCTAAAATTTGCCAAATACAATTCATACTTTTATGGGGAATATGAGCTGGTTTTCAAGATGACTATTAACAATTGGGAAAGGAAAACCTATTTTTTTTTTTTAAATTTTATCGGGCTGGAGCGATAGCACAGCGGTAGGGCATTTGCCTTGCGCACAGCCAGCCTGGCGGAGCTGGGTTCGATTACTCCGCCCCTCTTGGCGAGCCCGGCAAGCTACCGAGAGTATCTCACCTGCACGGCAAAGCCTGGCAAGCTACCTGTGACATATTCAATACGCCAAAAACAGTAACAACAAGTCTCACAATGGAGATGTTACTGGGCCCGCTCGAGCAAATCGATGAACAACAGGAGGACAGTGACAGTGACAGTTTTATTGAATCCCTGCTGGAGTGATAGCACAGCGGGTAAGGCGTTTGCCTTGCTTGCAGCCAACATGGCCGACCCGAGTTCGATTCCTCTGCCCCTCTCGGAGAGCCCGGCAAGCTACCAAGAGTATCTCATTCGCACAGCAAAGCCTGGTAAGCTTCCCATGAAGTATTTGATATGCCAAACACAGTAACAAGTCTCACATGTTATTGGGCCCCCTCGAGCAAAATCAATGAACAAAAGGAGGACAGTGCTACAGTGCTACACTGTGAGATAGTTACAAGCTTTCATGTTTAGGTTACAAACACACAGTGATCAAACACCCATTCCTCCACCAGTGCACACTCTTCACCACCAATATCCCAGATATATCACCCCTTTCCCACCCTCCCCCTGCCTCCGTGGCAGATATGATTCCCCATGATCTCTCTCTACTTTGGGGCATTACGGTTTGTATACAGACCCTGAGAGGTCATCATGTTTGGTCCTTTATCTACTTTCTGTACACATCTCCTATCTCAACCGATTCCTCCAGCCATCTTTTTCTTAGTGATCCCTTCTCTTTTCCAGCTGCCTTTTCCCCTTTACTCATGAGGCAGGCTTCCAGCTATGGAGCAATCTATCTGTCCCATGTATCTACTATCCTTAGGTATCAGCTTCATGAAGAAGACCTATCTTAACTGAATTAACTGAATTTCCATATTATCTATCATTTGAGGTTTATTTCTGTGAATTATATGTTACTACAAAAACACAATTGTTGGGACTGGAGCAATAGCATAGAGTGTAGGGTGTTTGCTTTGCACGCGGCCGACCCGTGTTCGATTCCCAGCATCCCATGTGGTCCCCTGAGCACCGCCAGGAGTAATTCCTGAGTGCAGAACCAGGATTAAGCCCTGTGCATCGCCAGGTGTGACCCAAAAAGCAAAAAACAAAAAACCAAAACAAAACAAAAAACCAAATGACCAAATACACAATTGCCATCCTGTTAGTCTAGTGCTATATTATCTAACATTCAAAAAATTCCTGTTATTATTATATGTATGGAATAATTTCAAGGGGGAGGAAAAGTTTCTTTCTTTAACTATTTTGATGTAGACCAATTTTGGGTAGTGGTTTCTTTATCTTCCTAGGGAAATTCTGTAGAGATTCTATGATGAATTTGAATTCTATAAGTGAGGGCTGTTCATTCACAGGGCCCAGGGATCACACCATTGCTTACAGTATGCAATCTCAATGTGAAGGAAATCTGCATTATTTTCACCGAGATAGTAGATTGATTGTCCTTAATATTGAAGCCCATTGTATTTTTGATCAGACTTGCTTAACTATGTTCCAAGTCTTTACTCAGTATTTATTAGTCTATAGGTGGTTACGTAGATGAATAAACAATTTTTCTGTATGGCACCAGTACGTGGGTATGTTTTTTATTAATAAAAAGGTTTATTGCATCTTTGTCACAACAATGAACAATATTGCTATGAAGATAGTCATGATTTCAATTATAGTAATATTGCAAAGTATTGGCATTATGAAATGCAAAACCTAATTATTAGCAAGTATAGAGAAATTTCTCCAAATTTTAAAACTTCTTGAGTTGTGCCTTGAATAACAGTCATGAGGAAATCTCTATCCTTCAGGTCTTTAGCTTATGACACATATTTTCTTTGGTTTTGATACTTCCCTTTGCAAATTCTTTATCTCATTAGAGAGTCGTTCACTCTCAGCTTTGAATCCTTCTTTTAGCAGTTTCTCCTGTTCCTGAAATGACAAGTGGAGACTTGTTTTAAGCAAACTATTGAACCATACTAAAAAAAGTTTACTTGCAAAGTATTATCATTGATGATTTAACTGTTTATCCAATACCCCTTGATGGAGACATACGAAGACATTAATGTTACTACCACACTTGCTAGCAAACTTGTTATATATGTTGAATTAAGGAGTAATATCAACAATAAGTTCTATTATTTAAGAAAATATCTATAGAATAATGTAGCTGTAGTGCATAGATTTGGGGAAAGTAAATTTAAAGTTTATATAAAATATAAAACAAAGCTCCCAGAAGCGCTTTGCTGTGAATGACTTCATACAGTCTAGCCCACTGATGCACCTAACGCAGCACACATGTGTTTGGTTTTAACATACTTGCTTGTATTCTCTGGGCTTAAACTCCATCCCTCTTGGAGAGCCCAGCAAGCTACCAAGAGTATCCTGCCCTCATGGCAGAGCCTGGCAAGCTACCCGTCATGTATTCGATATGCCCAAAACAGTAACAATAACGGGCCTCATTCCCCTGACCCTGAAAGGGCCTCCAATAAGGCAGCATTGGGAAAAACCGAGTAAGGAGAGGTTGCTAAAATCTCAGGGCTTTAACCAGTCATCTGTTCTTGGGCACTCAGGGTTTTTTCCAGATTCTGGCTATTGTAAAGAGTGCTGCAATAAACAGACAATTGCAGATGTCACTTCGACTATACTTTTTTGCCTCTCTGGGATATATTCCCAAGAGTGGTATTGCTGGATCAAATGGGAGCTCAATTTCTAATTTTTTGAGAATTGTCCATACTGTTTTACACAATGGAGTACTATGGAGCTGTTAGAAAAGATGAAGTCACGAAATTTACGTACAAGTGGTACTACATGGAAAGTACCATGTTAAGCGAAATGACTCACTCAGAAAGAAAGGGATAGACATAGAAAGATTGCATTCATCTGGGGAACATAAAGTAACAAAATCGGAGACTAACATCCAAGAATGGCCGAGATTAGTACCAGGAATTTTACTCTATGGCTTGCCAACCACACATACTAGGGGAAAAGGGAGCTCAGATAAAGAAGGGAACACCAAATAAAAGTGTTGGGAGGATCCTCCCAGGATGGGAGAAGCATGCGGAAAGTAGACTATAGACTAAACATGATTGTCACCCATTGCCTCTTTTGCAAACCACACCCATTAAGAGAGAGAACAAAAGGGAATGCCCTGCCACAGAGGCAGGGTGGGATGGGGGTGATGGGGAGTGGGAGGGATACTGGGATCCGTGGTGGTGGGAAATGGGCACTGGTAGAGGGATGGGTATTTGATCATTGTATAATTGAAACCCAAGCACAAAAATGTCTAAGTCTGCAACTGTACCTCATGATGTCTCACTATTAAAAATTTTTTAATAAAAAAAAAATAAAATCTCAGGGCTGGCATGAATGGAGACATTACTGGCGCCCACTTGAGTAAATTGATGAATAGGGGGATGACAGTGATACAGTAATACAGTGAAATTTAAAGTTTTGGAAAGGACTCAGCATCTTAGATAACAATAGGAACATTTGTAATGCATAAGAGGGGTTAAAGTACCAATGTTTTAAGGTATTTGGAAGAAACAGATATCAGGAAACAGATATCAGCTCTCTAGGATGACTGAGGTATTCAAGACTTCAGAGAAGAAAGTAACTGCGAATATGGAAGAAAGAGCAGGAGATCTAGATTGAGAATATTTCCAGAAAACACAGCCAATTTTTTGAGATCTAACAAAGCTTTAATCAATGAGGAACTGAATCAACAGTCTTCTTAAGATGGAATATATTCTTGGTAAAGAAGATGTAACCACTAAAAGGTTACAATTTTCTAAAGGTTTAGATGATGCTCTGAGCTCAGGGATCACTTCTGGTGGGTTCAGAGGACCATAAGGACCATATAGTGTTACAGGGATTGAACCTGGGTTGATTGCATGCAAGGCAAAGCCCTACCCCCTGGACTATTATACCAGCCCAGCAATAAAGTATTTTAAATTAAGATCTGTATGTATTCTTTTTTTTTTGTTTAATACACAATATTGACACATAATTTAAAGACTACTGTAAAGTGTACACAATGAGATAAGAAAGCAAAGAATTGATGTGAATCATTTCAGGGTAATATTTGCTTTGTCATAGGTTTAATAATGTGAAAGACACCCCTCAGGTATGTCTGTGTTTAGTGAAGAAATGGTGAAAAGTCAAACAGAAACATTATGGTTATTCATGTAAATACCTGAAGTTTAAGTGCCACTGTTCTATTTTGTTCTTTTAACATCTGAGCCCTCTCATTTTCTATCTTCTCAGTTAACTGTCTCACATGCTCCTGATAACTCTTTTCTTTATCTTCCATCATTTGCTGAGTCTTTTTTTGTATATCTTCCAGTGTTTGTGCTGCAGCTTTTGCAGATTCAGCTTTCACACGTTCCACTATCAAAGAAAAAAGAAAAATTTTTTGCCTGTATTAAAACATTACATCTTTATTCCCTTTACTTGTACTTATAATTCCTTCACCTGTAATTGTTCCTTCAGATTAAATGTGCCTTACTCAGACATGACCCCAACAATTTAAAGCTATCTTTGTTGTTTTTGCTCTAGTAAAGGGATTCTGGGTACACCAAACCAAATTATTTAAGCTTAAAGAGTTTTTGAAAGGATTCCTACCTTCAATGACCTTTTCCTTTTCTGTGAGAGTCTGGTCTGTCTGGAGAATTGTATCAGTCACAGATTCCTTGGAACTCAAGTATGCCTGAAGAACTTCTTCAGCCTTAGTACCCAGAGAACACAAAGTTAGTGGTGGGCAATGGTTATAAGCATTTGATCTTGTCTGTTCATGCCATTTTCCTCTAGGAACTGTCCTCTTGTCTAAAAATGGCCGAGGGGTGAGATTTTCCTGCCATATAAGGGTCAGTCTCCAGTGCCAATTATGCCATTCTACCAAACAGAATTATTTATAAGAAACTGGTTAGATGTGGGAAAACAAAAGTATCTTTTTAGTAGCCCAAGGACTCTAATTTTGTGATGGTTGGTTTTGTTATCTCCTATGAAGTAAACTTGCTAGAGAATGAAGCTGTCTCAGAGAAAGCAGGAGATGGAGAGAGGAGGAAAGTAGGGAAGGAGGGTGGGGTTGGAAAAGCAAGATAGACAGATGATGATATTCTTTGAATATCAGATCCAGCTAGTCTTAACGCCATAAAACCTAAAGAGAAGAGAGTACCAAATGAAGGGTGTTGTGAGGGCCCTCCCAGGGTGGGAGAAGCATGCTAAAAGTAGTCGATAGACCAAACATGATTGCCACTCAAAGCCTCTCTTGCAAAACACAGTACCCAAAAGAAGAGAGAGAGAACAAGGGGGAATACCCTGCCACAGAGGCAGGGTGGGACGGGGGGGGGATGAGGGTGGGGGGGATGCTGGGACCCATGGGGATGGATGACGGGCACTGGTGGAGGTATGGGGACTTGATCATTGTATAACTGAAACCCAAGCACAAAATTTGTAAGCCTATAACTGTACCTCATGGTTTTTCACTAATAAAAAAAGAAAAAGAAACCTAAACTGATAAATTACCATTTCTGTTTAAGATACTATTCATGAATTTCTGTCTCTTGCAGCATAATTACTCTGTTCTAATAGTGGATTGCAGCAATACCCTGATGGTTAATCCGATAAACCAATTTAATAGCAATTGTTAATTGAGCACACACTCTTGTATAAGAACATGGGTCATATCTGTCTCTCTGTACATGTTTAAGGAATAAGAGCACAAATGCTGACACTGCTTTCACTGCACATTCTTGTGAAATGACTCTAGTGACACAGCTGTTTCAGAGAGACAAGTGAGCAGCTTTCCAGATGAACAAATCAATCTTGGTTACCTGCAGTCCCTTCCCTGGTTCCTCACGGTATCTTTTCTTCAATTCTTTTGTCTTCTCTAAAAACAGACGGTAGCCTCCTGATTTAGAATAAATGCCACATTTCACTTCTTCTTCTAAAGGACTGAAAATATCCTTAAGCAAAGCTGAGCAACGATCTGATGATACTTTCAGATTCTGTTTGCAAAAGTCATCTCGTTTTTCTTCTAGCCGAACCTTTAATGTGACAATCATAAGTGAACAGAATAGGGAATAAAGTTACCTTAATCTTAGAATTTCTGGAAAGCCTCCTTAAAAATAAGTCTAAGTTTCCTAAAAAATACATTCCACCACCTTATCAAGTTCATAATTCTTTCTCTTGATGTTAAAAAAAATTGTTTGGGGGCCATACCCAGCAGTTCTCAAGGCACAGTCCTGGCTCTAAGCTCAGAGATCACTCTTGGAAGTCTCAGGGGACCTCATGAAGTGCCAGGGATTGAGTTTGGCCAGATGCATGCAAGACAAATGCTCTACCCACTGTACTATAGCTCTAGCCCAGATCCTGACTTTTAAAAGAAATTCCTTGGAGATGAAACTCAAACTAACAATACAAAAGCTTTATGCTATACTATCTGCTTTTCAAATCAAGCTAGTAACTGTTTTTGGAGTAACTGTGGTCCAATATAAGGCTCCTGAAAAAAGCTGAGACTATGGTATTTTTTTTTTATCATTTTGCTGAAATAAAGGTAAATGTCCTCCCGTTGATCATTGATTCACTTGAGCGGGCCCAGTAACGTCTCCATTGGAGATTTTGTTGTTACTGTGTCTGGCATATCGAATACGTCACGGGGAGCTTGCCAGGCTCTGCCTTGCAGGCGAGATACTCTCGGTAGCTTGCTGGGCACTCTGAGAGGGGCGGAGGAATCGAACTCGGGTCGGCCATGTTGGCTGCTTGCAAGGCAAACGCCCTACCCACTGTGCTATCGCTCTATCGTTAGTCTGATAAGTGAGTCCATAATTTTCTTAGAAGTTCTATTCTATATTAGAATAGGATATAGAATACATTCTATTAAATTGTGGAGAAGACTATTCACGAACCAAAACTGTTTCTCATATTTATGACAATAATGAACGGTAGTTGTCACCATTTTAACATTAACTATGAATCAATCCTTTCAAAATAAATATTCATTTTCTCTTTGTACTTGCTTTCTGAGACCCAGATTCATATAAAAGTGAGAACAATACCGCTAATTCCTTCTGAAATACTTGGTCTACGTCTTTGAAGGAACTCATGATGAAGAGTTCAATGGCCTCTTTCTCAATGGCTCTGTGAAGGTCCAGCAGCTCCTTGAGGGTTTCTGTGGGCAGCTGCAACTTCTGGCCCATCTGTTGACTATAATAATTAACGGCCTTTTGCACTGCAGCTGAATTCTCTATCTGTGCCAAGGCTAAGACTGCATCCTCCATGCAGGGCATTTCTCCACTATTGATAGCATTGACATATGTCAGCACCAGGTTCTCTAGACCTACAAACAGAAAGCAAAAGATAATGCTTGATGCAGGTGGGGTGACAAGCCTCCAACCATGGGCCAGTCTTCCTGGTCCTTGTTTATATTGTCTATCAGTAATAACCTCATACTGGTGTTTTATATCGCAAAAATGAGTGCAGTAAATATAAATCTGTCTCTCCCCTTCTGACTCATTTTATTCAGCAAGATACACTCCATGTCCACCCATTCAAAAGCAAATTTTATTTTCCTAATAAGTTTTCATTTTTCCTAACAGCTGCATAGTATTTCATTGTATAGATGTGCCATAGTGAGAAATTGTTCTTTTCTATATATTGTTGATTACATCTATTTATACCCATTTGTCTCTCAGCATTAGTGTCTCCAACATCAATTGGAAGCTTGCTACAAAGTGCAAACTCTTTTATTCTGTTCAGATCAGATGGATGAGAAAGTTATGTGTTTATTTATTTTGACAGTGTTGGGGATCAGACCCAGGATGAATATTCTACTAGGCTACATCCCTGGACAAAAACCCTTTTGGTCAGCATCACTGAATGATATATAGGCACATTAGAATTTGAGAATTTCATGGTACATACCATAGATTCATAGGTCTGTATTTACTGGGTACGAACAACTGCTTTATACCTAAGCAGCAGTAAGACAGATACAGTACCTATCTCACTTATCTTTAGATCTGCCTATGGTAAGCATTTGATCAAAACTTGTGCAATAAGCCAAAAGATCTCATCTATTTTTTCTTATTATAGTTGTATTAAAGGTCACTTTCTGTGATGATAGAAATGTCTTGTGTGTGCTGTCAAGTATGACAGAATCACATAACCAAGGATGTGAATCTTTTAAATATGACTTATGATAGGAATTTTTCTTTATTTTATAGTTAAATTTTTGAGCCATAATCACTGTTAAATATCCCTTAAGTACTGCAGACCCCGTTTAACACAAATTTTTTTAATTAGGAGGTAAATTAAGGCCACAGCCAGCTGTGTTCAGAGGTTACTCATCAGTGTGTGCTCGGGGATCACTACTGGCAGTGCTTAAAGCACTATGTGGTGCCAGGGATTGAATCAGAGTAGGTTGCATGCAAGGTAAGTACCTTACCTGCTATACTATCTCTTCAGTCCCACACCAGCTTAATTTTAATAAATAGAGATTTTGCTTTTCTTCATCAGCTTTCTTATCTTTATTCACCCAATAAATTAGACATAATCCATTGAAATCATTGATACTGTATTGAAGTTAGCACATTAGAAACAGATTCACATTTCTCAAGAGTGAATCTGCTTCTTCTGAATCTTAGGGAGATATTAAATCTTTGGTCCTTTACGATTAACTTTGACAATAAAGATTGGAAAGGGGACTTACGAAGTCCATTGACCTTGATGCCTCCTAAAAGAGTTTTTGTTTTGGAACTGCTAAAGATGTAGGAACAGAAATCTGCAGCTTGTGTTACAAATTCAGGATCTAGCTCATCATCGGGCAATGTCTCAAGATTTTTTAGTTTCTTTCGGTGAGTGGGTTGATCAAAGATGAAGCATTTCTTCTTTGGGAAGAATTTCCGGATACAGAGTCGAGGCAGATTAAAATTTTTATCTTTTTGGCTGGTACCTAGGTGAAATAAAAGGAGAGAGAGAGAAAGAAAGAAAGAAAAATAGGAAGGAAGGAAGGAAGGAAGGGCTAACACTTTTTTTGGGCAAAGGGTCAAATGTTAAATATTTTAGGCCTTACATATTAATACCTGGATCTTCTTTCCAGGTATTGTTTTACTATTATAGCAGGAAAATAACCATAGCATATAGGTACACCCATTTCTCAAAAATTCTGAAGTCACTTTAATCATATGGAAGATCTATGCAAGTACCTCTTATCACTAACCAATTGATATTTAAAGAGTTTTGCTTTTGTTATAAAAGGTAAAAAAATAAAAACTTGTATTCAGTATTTCTTTTGGAGCAGATATTACAGAGGCAGTTTGTATGTGTTAATTGGTTTAACTTGAGTTTAATTTGGGGTCTGAGAATACCAAAAGTTTTTTACTATTAAAAAAGTTTTCATATAAACTAATGGTAGTTGCCTTTTACATATGAAATAAGGTCAATTTTATAGAAACACTCTATCTTCTGAATAAAGGGGAAATATGTATGTATACATGGGAAAAATTTTCTAATAAAAATTTATTTGCAAAAATAGCTGATAGGGTGGATTGCTATCATTTGACTGTGAGCCATGAACTTCCAACCCCAGAGTCTACTGATCATTCTTTGATATGTGCAGGTATATTAGTGAAGGGCCTCCTCACATCATGGCAATGAAATTTCTGGGAGGTAATAAAGTCACCAATTCTATGTCTGACCCACCTTCTGGATATAAGAAGCAAAACCTGATAAGGCCTTCTCCAGCAGCAGACTCTGAGAAGACTGGACCCCTCCCTACAGAAAGGGCCTGAGGAAATTACTGAGACCCTTTAATTTCTTGCTTTAATTTGATTAACCTTCAGCTAGTCCAGATCAGAGAGTACTAGACCTATACTCCCAGAGAAGATCCACCAGGAACAATGGTAAAAAAAAAATAGAGTTTCGAGGACCACTCACAACTCTACCCACTTTGCAACAACCCTATGCTAAGGACTTTTATCTTGCTAGAAAGTCCCATGTGAGGGCAGCTTGGAAAAACCCTATAAAAGCCACTTTGAACAAAGGGAGGGCATACATATGTTGCCCGAGCCCATGTGCTGCTTCTACCCATGTGGCCAAGCATATGTATCACCCACATTTCCCCTCTTGAGGTGTGTACTTTCATGCTTTCATTTCTAATGCCCGGATGTGAGTAGAGGCTTTCTCTGATCTTAGAGTAGCCCGTGTTCTCCCTTGAGAGCATTAGTCTCTTGCTTTTTCTCCCTCCTCACCTTCAAAACCCTCCAAATAAAAATCTGTTCTATTTCACTACTTGTCTATTCCTGAAATTCTTTTCTGTGAGGCGAAACAAGAATCCTGAAAACCCTGGGTAATGTCTAAGACCGACTTTCCTCTCATGCACAGAGCAACTCCTCCTCTCATGCACAGAGCAATTTCAAAGCTCCCTGAGAAATTGGGTGGTGGGGATCAACTCCCAAATTGAGAAAACCAAGCAGACATGAGGTGTGCCTTGATGGCCACCTAGTGGGACTGGCAGGACTCTGCCCCATGCTGAGCAGGGGCTCATCGCAGACTTTATCAGTTCTAGTCTTTCCAGATGGGTCTCATGGTGGCAGAGGTGTATCAGGAGAAAGTGACCATCTCTCTCCTCCCTGCCTCACATAAGCCATGTTGTGGGGCCCACTGACATCACTTTGGCTTCTTGATTTAATCATAAATGCCATTCTTTGACTAATGGCTGCACCATATGCTCCTAAGCAGGCATATACAATTAACTGTAGCATAGCCAAAGGTGAGAGGAAAGGAAACATTCTTAAAATTTGGGGAGAGTATAATTAAAATTAAATTTGATTCCTCCGCCCCTCTCGGAGAGCCCGACAAGCTACCGAGAGTATCTCACCTGCACGGCAAAGCCTGGCAAGCTACTCGTGATGTATTCAATATGTCAAACACAGTAACAATTGTCACAATGGAGACGTTACCGGGCCCGCTCTAGCAAATCAATGAACAACGGGAGGACAGTGACAGTGACAGTTTATATAATAAATCAATACTAGTTCTTAGTAATAGCTGAGATTAGAATGTAAGTGTAAAAATGGTAAAAATGACAGTTTCTGACATATATCCTGCCCATTTACCAATGCTAAGTACTTGTTACCTTTCTTAAGCTTTAGTGAGAGCTCCAGGTACTCATCTGGTGTGATATTCTGTCCATCTGCTTCCAAATCTAGGGAGAAATCCCGTAGGGTCCACACAAAGTCTGGGAAGAAGCTCACAAAGTCAGCTGAATCATTGGTCCCATTGTCACAGGGTGAGGATTTTGCTCTGATTCGATCTGTTAGCTCTGTGACATAGCTGAATTCCAAGCTCAGGAAAACCAACATACCAGATTAGGTACCCATCCATCCCCTTCATATTTGCTGCACATATTCCATTACCATCATTTTCCTTTTTTTAGTTTTAATCAATTATTTAAAAAATAGTTTAGGTAGCATGGTTACCTTAATATTCTTAACTTTCAAGGTTTTTATGTAGAGACCATGCATTAACTACTACCTGTGGGGTCCTCCTCACCACCTCCAGAGAAAATGGGTATTATTCAACATAGCACAAGCACCACCATTTTTAAGTGGCAGTCATTCTGCACCAAAGCTTGCTTAGTAGAAAAATTTGTACGTCCATGACCATGGCCTTGAAGCATGTCTGAAAAGATGAGACATGAACCTCCAGAAAGTTAGCTAGACCACCAAGAATCGGGCAATTTTCAGAAATAAGGATATGAAAGGGTGTGGGAACGAAAGAGGGGAGTCACTCTTCTATTAGAGGAAACAGCGCTGACTGGGTCAACTTTCTCCACTTTTTCAGCTTTCTGAATTCAATGCTTGCTTGACTTGTGCCTAATAAAACTTTATACTGTAAAACTCGTTGTTTTGTGTGGTCTTTCAGATACTGGACCCCTAACACTACCAAAGTGCCCAAGGCTCTACCAGTGTCATTTGTCACCTCTAGTGCACTTCTTCCCTCTCCTCCCCTCACATTGTTTGACAAGCTCAATTTTGTATTGAAGGTCAGGGTTTGTTCTCATATGATATTGGCTATCCTCTTATCTAGTTTCTCTATATACAACAAATAAGTGAGATAATCCAGTGATTTGTTTACTGCTTTGTGTCTTTGCAAAATTTCAGTTTAACCCTGCATATCCTTGCTCAGAAGTGCAGGTGAAATTTCTGCAACTCAGCTGGTCTGTCCTGAGGCTGACACAGAGGACTTAGACCTGAACTGTGGGATGTACAGGAAACTCCCAATTTCCTGTGGGCTCCAAGTTCTCCTCCAGCAGCAGGGAGCCTTTGAAACATATCAGTGTCATAACACCTTTTTATTCTTGTGGTTAACTGTTTCAGAGAATTACTATTCTGTTGACTTATTTTAACTGTCTTTCAAATTACTTCTCTACTTCCAGTTTCCTTTAACAAGTGCTCTGTCTTTTTCTTTCATAGCAATTGTAATTATTTTCACATTCTACAGTATCCTATCAACTTGTCTTTAAATATTGACTTTTTCTGTTTCTAATTCACCTATTGTATCTTCAATGGTTACGTATCCTTTATCAGGATACATAAATTGTATAAATACATTGCCAGAGTGTTTCCTTGGCCCTGGCACATTCTTTTATCTTTTGAAATCTAAAATTTTGTTGAACATTCTTGGTTTTTAATAATTAAAAGCTCTTCTGTCAGGGAGAGGGTTGTTTCTGTTCCTTGAGTAGTATTTTCTTCCAGCTGAGTTCTAAGCATTAAATTCCTTTGTACTTTGCTTCTTTCTTCTCCCACCTTTCCATCCCGCACTTCAGGTAGTGTGTCTGCATAGAGACTTTACCTTCTCCTTTATCCCATATACTGCCAAGATGTTTCTCTTTTCTCTATGGCTGCAGGCACTATTGTTCTCACCCTTTATCCCCATAGCCACTCCCTCCATCTACGCCTGCAGTTTCTGTTGCAACTGCTTTCTCTGAAGCTTGTAACTCTTCTCTCTGATTAGTTTTCTGGACAAAATCCTCCAAAAACTTTGTCTCTAAGAATGTGTTATTGTTTGTAGCTGTTTAGCTTTGATCCCCTTTCTGCCATCTTGGCTCTACCACCACTTGTCATTTTGCCTTTTACCTTTGCCTTTGCTGAATTGTCAGTTCCTTAGTAGGTACAGAGGATATTGTTTGTCTTGAATTATATTTGAGTTTTCTCTTTTTGTGCTCTATTCAGAAGGATTCACATTTAGGTAGCTGTTTTTATTATTTGATTTCTGGGCTTCCTCAGTGGTGCTCAGGATGTTGTGTGGGTGGGTGGGGTCACTCACGCTCTAGGAGGACATGGCACTGCTCAGAAGCTAAGGTGCCAGGAATACCAACCCGCTCTTAGCTCCAACTCTGCTTGGGAACCTCCAGGGATCTGGAGATGTCAGGGTGGAATTCATTCATGAGCCCATATCCCTGTACTATCTACCAAGGCCCACCATCTGATGTTTAATTACAGGTCTCTGACTGTGCCGCTATTCTGCACTACAGAAAGGATACTGCAGTTGATCCATGGCCTGCTGAGTGATGGTACCTATGCTGTTGTACACAAAGGTGCTGCTCAGGAGGATTGCTAAGGCAAAAATCCAGGAGTCGTTCTGATTGTTACCCTGGAAATCAGAATACATTGGGACAAGAATAATGTATCATTCCAGGTCAACAGTAGAAAAAGTCAGTGAATTTTATTAAATAATTTTGGGCTAATGACTGCTAAGGAGGACAAAAATTTATACAAAAATAATTACTAAGAGAACTTGGACTTTTAATAGCTTTTTGATTTATATTTAGTTTATGCTGATTTCACCAGATTCAATTATAGTTAAATTGCAGGTAATGGCAATGCAAGAATTTAAGGTTATATAAATTTTAAGATATTATATAGCACAGTAGCACTGTCCTCCCATTATTCATTGATTTGCTCAAGTAGGCACCAGTAAAGTCTCACAAAAAATTGTGAGACATTTTACTTTTTTTGGCATATCGAATATGTCATGGGTAGCTTTCCAGGCTTTGCCATGTGGGTGAGATATTCTCGGTACTTTGCCGGGCTCCACTCTCATAGAAAATTGCATTATATGAAATAATAATGCTTATTTCTATTTTATTAGGTGATTATATATTCTTTATACTTTGACTTTTTTTAAATATCCAGAAAAATTCTATAAGATAAATATAGATCTAGTATATCTATTCTGCAAGTCAGAAAGCTGAGGTTAAAAGTTTTAAAATAATTTTCTAAGACAGTTGAACTTGTAGCAGAGTTTAAATTTAAACACAAGGGCATGGAGCACCAGAGTTTAAAGTCTCAAATTAATTTTTCTGTAGAGAAGAGTTAAAGCATTGATTTATTCCACTAAGTTTAAGTACCTATACAAGGTTACTCAGCTCTAGCATATTGTTAGTAATTAGAGTACCATCCACTTACTACTATGCTATTCTTCTACAATTCTGTATTTTGAGTATACTTTTTGATCTATTTCCTACATTTGATCTTATGGTATGTAATGGAAACAAATAACAACAAACATATATACATATATATATGTATAGATAGGTATAGATATATGCACACATATAGGTTAATTGCAAGTTCCTATTTAAAGACAATTTAACACTTCGAAAAATATTCAGACATAAAGTGCTTTATTCCACAATGGTATCCTCAATACTTACCTTCTCTATGTCTCCCAGGCCTTCAGTGTCCAGAAGAACTAAAGTATGGTCGGACTTCTCGGGGTGAGGTACACACCACATCCAGATTCCTTTGGTGTGAGATTGCACTGTGGATCCTAGAGAGAACCCTGCAGAACAGGGGTTAGTGGGATTAATAGGAGGAGAATTTTAATTGCAAACAGGTATGGAAATTGGCCTAAAAGTGAACTTAATCAAGCTTAGAGAACCAATTTTATAACCAGTTTTAGTTTTAAAGGGGGCATAATTTTCAATACTATGAAATATTTATTTTTTTCAAAATACGTGCTTTGCATATGGGAAGCCCAGGTTGATACCTGGCATCACATGATACTCCAAATGCTTGGAGTGACCCCGAGCAATAAATAGGAAAGTAGTCCCTGAACAACAATTTGTTGTGCTCCCACCACACACACAAGCCAAAACAAACCAAACAAATAAAAATACATATATATATATATACATTTTCATAGTAATGATAAACTATAAATAGAAATTAGTTTAACATAATATAGTCCATTGAATATAAGCCCACAGTCAACTTCACACTCAATGGTGTAAAACAATGCTAGCCTGCTACAAAAATTTACCAAAATATATAATAAAGTATAAAAGTTCTAGAAGAAAAAATTGAGGGAAAGCTACATAATGTTGAACTTAGCACTAATTTCTTGGATATGGCACCAAAAGTACAAGTGAAAGAATAAAACAGTTAAATTGGACTTTAATATATTAAAAACTTCTATGATTCAAAACACAGTCTCAACAGAGCGAAAAAGGTAACATGAAAGAAGGTGAACTTATTTGCTAGTTTTGGATCTGATACGGGTTTGAGATCCACATTATATAAAGAAAAAATGGACGAGAATTTAAGTAGACATTTAATTTAAAAAATACAACAAGGATCACGAACAAATTTTAAAAAATCTCAACATAACTAGTCACTAGGAAAAAGCACACAAAAACCACCATGAGTCACCACTTCATACCTATTAGGATGATCACTATTTTTTTTAAAAGTAGGAGAAAATAACAAATATTGCCAATTAAGGGGAAAAAACAAAAAAAGCATGCATTTCTGGTGTAAGGTTAAAATAGAATTGCTATGGAAAATTATATGGTTAATTAAAAGAATGAATATAGTATTACCATCAATTCCATTTCTAAGTCTATACTTTAAAATATGTGAAATATGAAATTTGAATAGATAATTCTACAAGCATGTTCATACTAACATTTTTCCTAATAGCCAAAAGGTGGAAACAACTTAAGTATTCATATATAGATAATGGATCAAAATTAGTATGTATTCAGCCTTAAAAAAGAAAGAGGTATGACATGCGATGCATCACTGATGTACCTTGAAGAAATTAAACTAAGTGTCAGGGGAAAAATAATGTATGATTCTTATAAGAGATTGCAGAACAGGAAGATTCATAGAGATATAATGTAGAATGGCACTTGCCAAGGTTTGAAAATTTATTCTTTATTGGGAACAGAGTATCTGTTAGGGAAGATGAGAAACTAATGAAGAGGATAATGGTAATGTTAGACAAATGTGTCACATAACTGAACTCTTGAAATTGGTTATAAATGGTGAGATTGTCAGACAGAGGAAGAGAGACTGACACAGAATGATCCCTTTCATTTGCTGGACATAAAGAAACATAAAGGAGGAATAACAAATGCTCAAAGACAATAGAAACAAAAAATAAAACACTAGTATTCTGAAGGAAGCATGTACCACATATATAATATTTATATTATATTATTTGCTCGAGTGGGCCCAGTAACGTCTCCATTGGAGACTTTGTTGTTACTGTGTCTGGCATATTGAATACGTCACGGGGAGCTTGCCAGTTTCTGCCATGCGGGTGAGATACTCTCGGTAGCTTGCCGGGCTCTCCGAGAGGGGCGGAGGAATCGAACTCGGGTCGGCCATGTTGGCTGCGTGCAAGGCAAATGCCCTACCGCTGTGCTATCACTCCAGCCCAATATAATATATTATAATATATATATTATATTATATTATAAAATCTCTTGTAGAACGAGTCAAGTTGGTGGGAGGCAAATGAAGTTGGGGGGTCATTGGTGGAGTGAAGTGAACACTGGTGAAGAGATTGATATAGAAAAATCGTATGCCTGAAACCCAATATTGAATAACTTTGTAATTTCACAGTGACAAAGTAAAAAAAATTTTTTTAAGAAATAAAGAAGTTGTACATATAATCAATGAAGTACTACTCAGGCATTAAAAACATGGAAGATTATCTTTTGTGACAGTATGGATGGTACTAGAGGTAATTAATATTAACAGAAGTAACCAAAGATTAAAGAAAAATAAATACTGGGTAATTTCTCTCAAATGCAGAATATCAACAACCAAAGGAAATGAATTAACACATCCCAACAAAAATAGCTCTTAGAATCTAAAAAATATGATGGTTATCAAAGAGAAGGGGGAATAGTTGGAAGAATAAGTGGGTATCCGTCTGATAATAAACAATATTAGAATTTTTGTAGAGTTCAACAAGGCTTATACAGATATAAAGGTGTGAAACTATACTCTCATAATTTTTTCCAAAGTACTGCAAGATAATAGCAAAACATACAGTTTTAATTAGACATAAAAGAAGCTAAGGCAAGTGGAAAGAAAGATAGGCTGACTCTTATACTGAAGAGAAAAATAAAGGCAGAGCTGTGGACTGAAAGCTAGTTTCCAGTATTTATCACCATTTCTATTTTTCTCTTTGAATCACCATACTCAATGCTAGCTATGTGGGTTGTCAAAAGACACTCAGCAGACCTTTCCTGGTACTGAAAACAAACCGAAGATTAGACAAGGATAACTGTCCTTGCTCAAAAGCCTAAAGTTTATACTCAGTCCACCTTGCCCCCCAAACTTAACCCTTACTTTGTTTAGGTTTATGGATAAGGTGGAGTGTGTCTCAGGGAACCAGCCACAGGGGATTTTATTATTCTTTCTGAGATATACTGATCTATGACCCACCCTTTCTTCCCTGTTCTTTTCTTTTAAAAAACCTTTCTTGTGAATGTTTAGACTTAGCTGACTGCTTTGAGGACATGAGTTAACCTTCATCTAACTGGCTTGTTGTCAATAAAGCTTTTTCTGTGCTGTCACTGTGTGTGTCTTTGATTAGCCTTCAAGTACCTTTTTCAGTTACCACATCACTTACCTGTTCTCTTCCCAGCCAGCCTGTTCATCAGGTAGGACTTGCCTGTGCGATAGAGACCTACAATTGCCACCACCACAACAGGCTGTGAAATGGCTGCCAGTATCTTCAAAGCTTCTGGATTAACCACCAGTTTCTCATTAGCATTCTCAATGAGGCACACAGGGCCTGGCATTTGGATCTCTGAGGCCATGTTCAGAATGTTTTCTTATCTGAAAAAGCAGAGATTAGATGGAGTTCTTTCCTAGGTTATTTTGCATACAGAAAATGGAGAAAAAAAATTCCAACATGGCCAAAAATTATGTCAGTGGTGAATAGATAAGAGAAAGATCTGTATCTTTTATTTTCATCTATTTATTTAAACCATTTTTACTTAGGCATTGGGATTTACATATTGTTACACATACTTTTCAATGGATACATCATCTCAACAACACACCCACAACCAAAGAGACCCCTTCCTGCAACCAGTGTCCCCTTCTACCTCCCAGGACGCCCTGCCTTGTAACCTCAGGTCTATAGACAAAATTTTCACTTCTGATGACATTTAGCATTTATTGTCCCTTTTCCGGTTTTTATTTATTTTTTTATCCTACATATCAGAGAGGGCTGGATTGATAGCATAGCGGGTAGGGTGTTTGCCTTGCATGTGGTCGACCTGGGTTCGATTCCTCTGCCCCTCTCCGAGAACCTGGCAACCTACCTGTGATGTATTCGATATGCCAAAAACAGTAACAGTAAGTCTCATAATTTGTTGTGAGATGTTACTGGTGCCCACTCAAGCAAATTGATGAACAACGGGAAGACAGTGCTACAGTGCTACATATCAGAGAGATCTTACTCATAATTTAAATTGTGGAAATGGTGACAATTACACATATCGGTAAAAAAGAGCTAATTTCCTGAAATTCCACAAAATAGTAAATCAATGATAAATTGGTTAAGCAAAAAATAATTTTTCAAAAATTCAACATTTTTCAGTATATAATTAAAATAATATTATGACTATGTGATAATTAATACATCTTAAGATTTAAATGAAATAGATGTAGTTTTTTGAATATTGCTAAAGTATTATAATAGAATATTGAAAAGATGTTGCATGCCAGTGACTTTTTATATATTCAGCCACTCACACAAACAAGATCTAGATTTATTTGACAACTTGATTACATATAATAAATATCTATTTATTTTTACTATATATAAATACTTTTATGAGTAAGTCATATGGAGCGATAGCACAGTGGGTAGGGCGTTCACCTTACAAGCGGCCAACATGGCCGACCCAAGTTCGATTCCTCCGCCCCTCTCGGAGAGCCCGGCAAGCTACCGAGAGTACTCAATATGCCAGACACAGTAACAACAAAGTCTCCAATGGAGACGTTACTGGGCCCGCTCAAGCAAATCGACGATCAACGGGAGGGCCTTTACCTTTACCTTGCCTTTATGAGTAAGTCAAGTAGTAAAAATTTTTTTTTGCACTATCAATACATTTTCTTTTCCCTCATGTTTATTTCTTTTCTCTTATCCGAGAATATAGGTCCACCAAACTCATACCACCATTCCAAAAGTAGAATCAATATCTCTTTTGCAATTGCCTAAAATATATTACCATTAATCACATGCAGACATAGAAGCATAAAGTGTTGGGAAAAGAAGGAAAGAAATAGTATGGAGGGGAAGGGGAAAAGAGATAAGTGACATGCAAGAAGGCTACAACTCAAGGGGACCTAGGTATATTTGCAGTGTTAAAGAATGATAGAGCTAAATGTCCAAACCACAGAGTAAACAGAATAGAAAACATGAGGCCCAAACTTTAATAATCAAATTAAAATGGTGCCTGTCAAGATGGCAGGCTGGGGCTGAGTGTTGGGGTAGGAGAGAGAATCTGGGAACACTGGTGGAGGGAAGTAAACAGTGGGTGTGGGATTGGTGATAGAATGCTTTATGTGAAAAACCCAACTATGCAAAACTTTGTAATTCATGGTTATTTCATAAAATAAAATTTTGAAAAAGAAAAAAAAGAAAAAAGCATCATATTTTCATATTTTTCTTTAGGTTTAATTTGGACTAAGGGCATTTCTAAAACCTTGGGATGGGCTTGTGTTAGCCAAGGACAATGGAATTTAAACCTCATTGGCTTAGCAATAAATTCCAGCTAAATGTAGGGTACAAAGGAACAATTACAAATACTGGATATCATTAAGACTTATGTTTGTGTGTGGATATATCTATATCTAGATATATGTGCGTAATCTGGATGAGAAGATGGTAAATAGAAGGATGAAAATATCTAGAGGGATAGAAGAGTTATTCCAAGAAATATCTCTATTTCATTTAAAGACGTCTAGGCCGGTCCTATTTTGTTCTTTTTCCTATTAGAGGAGGAGAAGCCGGAAGGAGAGGGGGATGGGGTTCGGTGAGAGAATGGGAAGGGAAACAGGAAGCAGGGCCTGAAAACCAGAACAGCCAGACACAGAAGTGAATGGAGCTAGTATGTTAAGCCAAGGGATTCAGGGGAGATGTTTCAAAATGCAGATTCAAAACTGTTTCAGAGCAGCACAGAAGTCAAGGCACAGAGACACATTGATTTAGTGACTCTCCACAGTAGATTCTTTAGAAAGTAAGTTTTTTAGTTAAAAGAGAGTGGGACTAAAATTTTACTGTAAATAGTTGAAAGGTCATAGAACTCACCCTATGCAGAGGGATGGAGATGAATGTATGGCTATTTCATCAGCTGGCCATTCAGTCTTGAGCAAATCTTACAATAGCAAGGAATGAGCTAGCACTAAGACATGAGATGAATATTTCTAAAATAAGTCCACTGTAAACAAAGTGCAAATACATGATTTAAACACAACAGTGTTTCCATGAATCTCCATTTTTCAGTCTGGTTTTAAGGTTTTTTAAAAAAAATTATTATTATTATTTTTAACAATGCCAAGTGGTTGCATAGGCTGCTTTGCTTTCCATTTAGAAAAGTTCTCCAACAAAGACAATGGTAATTTAGTAAGGCCCATAGTCAATACAGACGAGTCAGTAAAGAGAAAGGCAATCTTCTTTATAAATGCTGTTTAACCCACACTTGGAAAGTCCAATTGAATAAACATGCTAGTGTCACCAAGAGAGCACCAGAAAATCACTCTCATCCCGTCCCACACCTGCACACCAAGCTCAGCTGGAGTCTCTCGGTGAAGCTCATGTTTTTAGAACATGAATGAAAGTTTATGCAACCTATAACACCCCTGCCTGAACCCGATCCTGGATCTCTGGTGAGATATTTTCACTAGAACACCTTTAGGTCTTGAGAGCAAGTTACTTTGTTGACAGAGTAGTCAGAGTTCTTACCTGCTGCTGTCTTCTCTCCTGAGTTTAGGTGATTCTGTTGTTTCTCTGACTTACTAGACTTTTACTTCAGCTCTCCAGCATTAGGGGCTTTACAGATTTCCTTCTGTAAACAGTGGATTAAAAGCGAAGTATTGTTTTGTAATATGATTTTGAGTAATATGAAAGTGAAAGTAGAAGGGTACAAAGCAATGACTCAACCACTCAAAGAATTTCTGGAAGCTCTGCCAGTACAAGATGACATGGCTTTGCCATGATTTCTTAATTCAAATCTTAAAAAGAGAAGAAAAGAAAGACATCTTAGAGACCATTTGCTGTTTAAAAAAATATTTTCTTTAGTGCTTTAATAAAAGTGGGTGTGTTTCAGTGTGGGTGCTTACTTTGAGAGACATGGAATGAAAAAGCACCGTATGATTCTTTTAGGTCTAAATTTCTTTAAGAGTAGGCACTGTCTCAGTGGACCTGACTCCTCATTATTAAGTGCAGTAACTTGGGAAAAGGTGAATCTGACATACTCAGAAATACCTAGAGTCTAATCAGCACCAGGAACCAATTCAAGTACTTGTCCGAATTGTTCTTGTAAAGTTGCTTCACTATGTTGTTTTTCTAAGTTGTTTCAGACAATATCAGAAGTAGCAGTTTTATTTCTTCTTTTTTCCTTTTTAGGACACACCCTGCAATGCTCAGGGGTTGCTCCTGGCAGAGTTCTGGGGACCAGAAGGGATGCTGTGAGCTCAAACCCGGGTCAGCCTCATGTAAGGTAAATGCCCTATTGCTCTGGACCCAGCAGTTTTATTTCTTGATGATTTTTTATGGTCTGGTAGTTTTCTTCCTGAGTTCTGACTACACTCAAACAAAATGAGTGATGTTATCTGCGTTTTACAGTTAAAGAGGCTGAGGGAAAATAAACAATATTTTTCTCCAAATTTCCGAAATTGGTAAATGGACAAAAAACAAGCAAACAAAAAAGCCCAATGAAAACTGCTAATAGAAGGAAGGTTACCAGTGACAAAGAGAATGGGAGAGGCTGGTGGGAGACAAGTTGGGGAACTGAAAAACAGATGTGTATGAAAAAAAAACTGAAATAAAACACCACATGACTTAGCAAAAAAGTAAAGAGTTTACATGTTTATAATGAAACATATGCATATACAAGTATATGAATAACAGCGAGAATGAATAAAATGAAGAAGAGAAGATAGAGTTTTTTTAATGAAACTAAATGTATTCTTTAGTTTGTGATACAGATATTATTTTCATACTGGAGTGATAGCACAGTGGTAGGGCGTTTGCCTTGCATGCAGACGGCCTGGCCAAGTAGGGTTCAATTTCTCTGCCCCTCTTGGAGAGCCTGGCAAGCTACCGAGAGTATCTTGCCTGCACAGCAAAGCCTGGCAAGCTCCCTGTGATGTATTCTATATGCCAAACACAGTAACAACAAGTCTCACAATGGAGCTGGCCCTTGTTACTGGGCCCCCTAGAGCAACTCAATGAACAATGGGAGGACTATTAGAAGAGTAAGTGCAGGTTAAGATATAATGTAATGGACATTAGTTACATTTGAATAGCAAGTCATTGGACAAAAAAATCTCAAACAAGTAGCTAATTTGTAATTTCTTTATATGAATAGTCAGTGTGTTAGAATGGAAAGGTTAAGCCAGGCAACTGAGAGTACAGTCGGTAGTGATAAGCTTGCCTTGTACGATCCCTGGCATCACATGTGGTACCCAGAGCACCACCAGGAGTGATCTTCGAATGCAGAGCCAGGAATAAACCTTGAGCAACACCGGTATACTTCCTCACAAGAGGGAAGAGTTAAATTAGGTTTATCAGTGGCCTGTATTTATGGAAATGAACTGAAAACCCTCTAGTATTTTATGCTTCTCCCTTTATCCTCATTAAGCATAATGGTATGATTAACTCTCTCATAAATTAAAAATGTCTAGCTCTCTTCTACTTCTCATGACTGAACTTTGTGGTGTCAGTTCAACAATGCAACCCTACTTACTTGTCTTGATGGCCAACTGAAACTGAAAGTAAGAACCAGCTCTTCATTTCCCATAAACAAGTTGATGTTAAGAAACAGCCCATTGAGGGCTGTTTGGTTAGCTAGGTGAACTTTCTTTTCAGACCAGTTGCATGAAAAATATTTTTAGGAACTTGTTTTAAATGCTGGACAAAGAAAAACAAGTGCTGTGAACGAAGGTGTTATATTTCTTCACTTTCTAGTGTACTTAGAGTTGCCCTCTCTAAAATGCTCTCACTAAGTTGCTTACATTATTCTACAGTAGTAACAGATGAAGTTAATTTCATGTTAGTATTATTTTAAAATATGTCTTTGTATTTTTTATTTTGTATATTTCCAAATACAGCAGTTCCATGAAGAGACTATGAATTTCATGTGTGGTATGTTTTTCAATGTGAAGAACTCTACGTTCTAGGGTACTCAGAAATAGGGATTTGTTAACCTAACTGGTGCCACCAAGTCTGAGATACTATAGAGACAAAACCAGCAGATCAGAAAAATAACTTGCAGGTTTTTTTTTCTGTTTTTTTTTTTTTGTGTGTGTGTGTGTATAGAATCACAGTGTGTGCGTGCATTATACTGTGTGTAACTGCTGAAGGGTGTGAGCTTGGTCAGAGACAGTAATGGCTATAAATGTATTTTCATTTATGAATTATTAGATTAAGATGGGCTTGTACTCAAACAACAAAAGTAATGGGATGGATGGAAAGGGCTAGCGGAGCAGTGATGACCATAAAAACAGTCTCTCAATCTCAGAGAATGTGTAAAATTTTTACACATGTTTTATGCCAGTTATGTAAAATGTAGCAAATTTTGGTTTAAAAATGATCTTGTAGTTTTATTCTTATTTAAATTATTTTAACCATTTATCCTGGTTTTCTATCTATACTATTAAACTCAATACCATAATTTAGGGCTGGAGTGATAGCACAGCAGTAGGGTGTTTGCCTTGCGTGCAGCCAACATGGCCAACCTGAATTCGATTCCTTCACCCCTCTCGGAAGAGCCCGGCAAGCTACAGAGAGTATCTTGCCCGCACAGCAAAGCCTGGCAAGCTCCCCATGACGTATTCGATATGCCAAACACAGTAACTAGTCTCACAATGTTACTGGGCCCGCTTGAGCAAATTGATGAACAACAGGAGGACAGTGACGGTGACAGTGACCATAATTTAAATGGTAATAGCGAATATATTTTAATTTTTATATTTTTATTTAACAATTTAGTGAATTCTTTAACCAGGCATTGTTTTGATGACTCTTACAAACAAATTTTTATTAGTGAAAATTAGGAGTAATTATAAAATTCCTTCAGAATTTAGATCATATTGGCTATATGTTAAATATATAAATTAAGTTATAGATACAGTTTTTAGTTAGTTGCTTTAATTTTGGAGTATCACAATCAATCACAACCATCCTGTTATTCGTCAACTGCTTCGAGCAGGCCCCAGTAATGTCTCTTCGTCCTAGCCCTGAGATTTTTTTTTTTTTTAGAAAGTGCCATATTCAAGGCTCTTTCAGAGTTAGGAGAATGAGACCCTTCATTGTTACTGGTATTTGGCATATTGGGTATGCCACGGGGAGTTTGCCAGACTCTGCCGTGTGGGCAGGTTACATTCGGTAGCCTGCCAGTTTCTCTAAAGTAGGAATGAGATGATAAGATGTCGCGTGGCTGCGAATGTGGCCGTGCGCTTCTGGGAGCTGGGTTTTATAGTCTCTGAATCTTGGCCGTTGATGGGATTACACGGTGCCAGGGGGCCAGTTGGTGGGTGTGACCCCCGCCTACTGGAATTTGGAGGATCTGGGTGGAGAATGCTCAGCCCCAATCCGAGTAGGCTTGGAGATCTCAGCCCCGGAACCCGCGTGACTTTGTCCCTCTGCCGGTACCTTCATGTGTGTGGAGAGTGGTCTCAGCATGGTGGTGACTGGTTCTGGAGGTCTTTGGCTGCTGGAACCCTGGTCGGGGCAGGGAGGAAAACTCGACCTGCTCCCCTCCAAGGGGCCCCGACGAGGACAGCCAGGCACGGGGGCAGGAAACTTTTGGAGTATATTTTATTTTATTTATTTTTTAAATACTGCTATTTGTTCAGCCATTGATTAAGCTGATTGAATTGGGCACAAACTCCACATACTTTTTTATTTTATTGTATCACCATAAGATAGTTACAAAGCTTTCATGTTTGATATTCAGCCATACAATGATGAAACACCCATGCCTCCACCAGTGCACATTTTCCACCACCAATGTCCCAAGTATCACCCTGCCTCACATACATACACATCGCAGTTCTCACCCTGCCTCTATGAAAGACAATTTCCCCCATACTCTTTCTCTAATTTGGAGCATTAATTTTGCTCTAATTTTCCCACCACCATTCAAGCCTACCTGGCAGGGGCAGACACTAGATAATATATTTTCCATAGCTCATTTTGAATATCACGAGAGCTCACATGGGTATGATTGTAAATGTAAATTTTTAGATTGTAAATGGTTGGGTTCCAGAGACATCTCTGTATGGCACTAATCCATTTTGGGATTCAATTGGGAGCCTCTGGGCTAGGGCTGTTGGTGTGCTAAGTGGCATCCAGAGGCAAATTGTGTGTGTGACAGCCAGTCTTCTGGGCAGGTGGTGGCCTGGGGACGGCCAGCCCAGGTCCTCTGCCACCATGCGGCCTGGAGATTTAGTCCCGAGCCCACATACCTGGGCTTTGCTTTGAAAGATCTTGGTCACTGGGATTCCATCTAGAGTAGGCAGGGAGACTGCACCTTCTCCATCTGGGGTTCCCTGGTGATATTGGTGCATTAAGATTCACATTACAAAGTTTTTAGCAGATTATATCTTGGTGAGGTTCATCCTGATATGGTAGAGTCAGGCTTGGGGTATGGCGGCAATTTTGGATTGTGGAAGCAAGTGGCTGCCAGGACTCTGCTTGGGCAGGCACAGGCCAACCCACCCCCTCCAATTTACTCTGGACTGTTCAGCTGCATATGGGTCTGAGCCTAACTGAGGCCTTTGATCTTTTTCAAGATTTATTTAGGGGTCTCTGAGGCAAGGCCCATAGTAAGAACTTACAGGATAGCGCTGGAGTTGGTTCATGGGGGTGACTACCAGTTCTTCCG